TCTCTCTCTATATATATATATATATATATATATATATATATATATATATATATATATATATATATATATATATATATATATATATATATATACAAAACACAAAGACACACACACACACACATATATATATATATATTTTCTAATTAAAAAATTAATTTATTGGAAGTGAGGAAAGAAAGTTTCAGCGTAGACTTTGTCAATATATATATATATATATATATATATATATATATATATATATATATATATATTGTTTGCTGCATAATTATAAAGCGTTTTTGTAGGCGAGTTATTAGTTAATAAAAATTGCTGTTTTGTTTATTTTTTAAATAAAAATATTTTATTTTCAGGATATAAAAATGCGAGCCGATAATCTTACGCTCCGGAATAATCATCTAAAACTATTATTGTTGAATTGTTATGTTTCTTTTGTCATAATAAATATTGTTTTAAAATCGCCTGATAATTATGTACCAACATATATATATATATATATATATATATATATATATATATATATATATATATATATATATATATATATATATATATATATATATATATATATATGCTATGTCAGATTTTAGTATGCAAAATTATATATGTTAAAAACTATGAAGTCAATAAATAACGGAAGATAATAATTAAGACATTTTAAGTGAAATGCTGAATAATTTTAAGAGTTTGGGCTAAAATCTTGAAAGCAATCAAACTATCTCCTTTTAAGTAATAATGGTAAGGTGAAGCGACTATGTTGTGCGACGAAATACATGATTCATCAACAGTAATTTCTTGTGGTGAATATACAGTTCATTACTCGGTAAATGTTATGTCCTTCAACCTATACTGTTAAGAAGACAGCAGACGGAAGATGGAGTAACGTTCCGGTTAAGTACTGTAGGTAATAAACATATTTTCCTGTTTATGTCGATGTTGGTGTCAAGACAATTATTGGAAATCATCGACGTAATACAGCTCACTACCAAGAATCTTTACGCTAAAGAGTGTTTTCATGTAAGTCAACATTTTTTCACATTTGCAAGACCTGGCTAAATTAAGATACCAATCCAAGAAAAACAACGTGGTCAATCATTAAAATATATGTATCTGAGAATCATCATCACCATTATCAGTCTGATGAACAGGTATGTTTGTAGGGTCATATATCTAGTTTGAAAGCCGGAAATTATTCAGCATGCCTCGGGTAAGTAGACCTGACAGAGCCTATTCCTCTCCAGGTGAAACCAAAGCCAATAAACTATAGGCTCGCATTGGACAGATGGACATTGTTTCCATCAAGGGAACCCTTCCGCCCGAGCCGTTGACGACTATCTAGGAAGACTTCTATTGAGCGATGCCGTATCATCAACATACAGACTGAATCCATATCTATGGAACCCAATCTACCACCCCATAATGCTAGAGGGACTTGAACCTACACGAAGGTTCATCCATCCTTTGACAGGGTTTGTTTTCAATTCTTCTGGGTGTCTAGCCACAATTCTCACCACAAAAACCTGATAAGGGACCAGTTTAGTAGGCGATGACACGACCATGCGCCTGAAAGTAAGCGGTTGTTTAATATTAATTTTATTATGAAAACATTACTTGCATAAGAAAATCTCACACTGAGGATACAATTCCAATTGAAATAATTTATGATCGCTTCGCTTTAATGTCTTTAATCTAAATCACAACTTTTGCTCTCAACACAAAATGACAAATGGAGCTCTCTAACCTTTGGAGAAGACAACAGGAATCCAATTTAGTATCTTCTCAAGAACGATTGAAACTACTTACAGATATACAATTAAATACAGCTGTAGAGAGTTATGATCTCCTACATTCAAACAGGAATTAATGACGAGCATATATATATATATATATATATATATATATATATATATATATATATTCAAAAAAAGATTGGGGCCACCTCTGGAAATCTTTTTAGATTGGCCCCCAAAGTATTTTTTTGTACTTTAAATAAGAGAAAATTATTATACATGGTTAAAAGAAAGTGAGATATGACTTTTTATTAGAAATTTTATTATGACACACAAAAACAAATTTATGGTTAAATTTTTCTCTCGTCAAAATATCCTCTTTTAGCCGTGAGTACTGCAGCACACATTTTGGGCATTTGTTCCAAAAGCTTCTCAAAATAAAAGTTTCATAATCGATTCTATTCTTTTTTTAAATGACTCTAAGACCTGTTTTTCATTTTTTTCACTGTCAAGTTCATCCCATGCTAATTCTTGGGTGTGTCTTTTTTGAACTTTTGAACTATATATATATATATATATATATATATATATATATATATATATATATATATATATATATATATATATATATATATATATATATATATATATATATATATATATATATATATATATATATATATATATATATATATATATATATATATATATATATATATATATGTATATATATATATATATATATATATATATATATATATATATATATATATATATATATATATATATATATATATATATATATATATATATATATATATATATATATATATATATATATATATATATATATATATATATATATATATATATAATAATCTAAGTTACGAAAAACTTGGTAATTTGAATGGTAGTCCCAAGGAGGATGAAATCCTGAGAGCTCAATGTAAATTCAGAGCTAATAATTTATCAAGCATGTTTTGTTGAATAATATCGACAAGTTCAGTCAACTTTTGCAAATTTATTAATTGGTTTATATAATTCTGGCATCAATATATCTATATCTATAATTCTCAAAATGTGTGTGTGTATGTATGTGTGTATAATCGCTTGTTGTTTATGCGTTTTCACAGTTTTTATCCGATTTCGTTAATTCTTTTTTTTTTTTTTTTTTGTTTTATAGATAATTTTCAGTGCCGGTTTTGAGCCCAAATTGACTGGAAAAAAATTACAACCTCGGAGGTGAAAAATCGAAAAAAACTGGTTTTTTTCATCTTTGCGCAAGAATCAAAGGCAAAATTTAATGTCTGTAACAAACAGCGTACAATCAATTTAGAGATTTGAAATCTAACACAAAAATTATTCTAAAAGAATTATAAATAATATTATAAATAAAAATTATCGTATATTATTATTATGACGGTCCCTGGAAGAACTCCCTTCCTTGTAAGATTGAGAACGGAAAAACGACCCTTTTCAGGCTCACTCCCTTTAAATAATTGTTACCACCCCCCTCCCCATTTGGAGATATGCCTCGGTTTCACCAAATTGTTGTTACTAATATTGATTTTCAGGTGGGCTGACCTTAAACTTAAACTGCTCCATTGGAACGGCAAAAATTCCCAGTAATGAAACTTCAGCCGAAGACTTGTTATACTGCTTATATATATATATATATATATATATATATATATATATATATATATATATATATATATATATATATATATATATATATCAATTCAAGCGTTATTATAGTGGGTATTTCATATTTGTGTTAGACGCCCCAGTTTTATTTACTAAACCATGGTTTGGCTTGTTTTGCTTTACGGCATATCAACCTTAATGGGTTATTTAATGCCGACAAGTAATATTTTTTTCCAAAAAATGTATTCCTGGTAATATTGTTTTCTTCAAAAATTTATTGCTGGCAATAATTTTCCTTCAAAAATGTATTGCTGGTATTAAAACCTACTTTTACACTTTCATAGTGTTTAACCCCAGTTTGGGGGTTAACTATTTACCCATAGTTGGGACCCTAACAGATGCTTCCACACCGGGTCAGGGTGGACCTGGGAACGCCAGCAATTAAGATGTCCTGATCAGAGGCCTTGCTGTCGGATGTATTTTATCGTCATACCCAGGAAGGACTAAACCCTATGTATTACGTCTATCAGCCTGCTCATTCCAGAAATTCGAGTAAAGAAAGTTCTCTTTAAGAGGATTTCTCGAATCCGAAGGACAATAGACGTAATACACACGGTTTAGTAAATAAAAATGGGGCGTCTATTTCAAACATGAAGTGTCCTATAATAAAGTTTGAAGAAATATAAATGTCGGATTAAAAATCAAAATCAATGAATTCTTTAGAAACATATATATATATATATATATATATATATATATATATATATATATATATATTCTAATGTTCACCCAATATAAGGTTCAAGAGCTTCTGAAGGTAGAGGGTTACTGTATGGTTTTGTTTGAGTGTACGAGAAGGCGAGAAGCGCAGTTTATGAAGTTGTCTAAGAAAGATAACGTTTAACCATCGACTTAAAGAATTTAAGATTATAGTCATCAGGAAAATCATCTCGAGTGTCTGTTTGTACAAAGCAATAGTTCTTATATATATATATATATATATATATATATATATATATATATGCAGTTCTATATGATTACAGGTGTGTATATACCAAACTATTAATATATACAAATTAAGTCGCTGTTTATATTTGTGCATTTCACACATGCACCTATTATCGTCAATATTCGAACATTCCCAGAAGACAAATTTTCACGCTTACAGAATTTGCACTCAAATACATCAACTCATATCAAAGAGCGAAATGTATCTGCTCAAAATGCATTTAATAAGAGAAGATTTGATCTGTCAACCGTTTACCAATGCTGGGATGTTAGTAACTAACACTTAGACCACAATCGCAAGGAAATGAAGTGAATATGGTAAAACAAATATCGATGTTTACCATGTTTGTTACTATGCTGATGGAGGCTGCCGTTCTGTGGCAATTTTTCTGTTTTAAAATACTGGTATAACCCCTGGGCGCTGTTCTTTACTCTCAACCATTACTTGGCGTTGAAGTCGTTCTAACACTACTTGTTTCAATTCTGACCGTTGTCCACACAGCTTTTCTCTTTCCTTTCTCAGAACGAAACCTTCTTTTCCAGAGTTCAGAGTTTTTTTCTGCTTTTATTGTTAAGGTGGATAATTGAATGCCAAATAATGAATAGCCTGGGAAAATGTTAATGCGACAAAGGGAAAACTTGGGAAAAAGACGAAGAGAATGGGGATGAGATAGGGCGGAGGAAAGCAAAGAAGCAGGGTTAAAAAGAGAGAGAGAAAAAAAAGGAGAAATAAGAGAAGGTGAAAAAAAAAGAATGGAGAGAAGAGAAGAGAGAGAGAGAGAGAGAGAGAGAGAGAGAGAGGATGAAGAGGACAGGATATACAGAAAGAGAAAAGAAAGGAGAGAAAGAATAAGATTGAGAAAAATCGAGAAAGTTTAGTGGAAAAATATTCCAGAAAAGGAAATCAAAATTCAAAGATAAAATGTGAGGGAGATGCAAGGAGTGATAGAAAGATATCTAGAAATATATATATATATATATATATATATATATATATATATATATATATATATGTGTGTGTGTGTGTGTGTGTGTGTGTGTGTTTGTGTTTGTTTATGCGTGTGTATGTGCGTGTGTGTGTGTGCGTGTGTGGAAAGATGCGAAAAATAATGAAGTAGAAGTGGGATAGAAAGAGAATAGGGATTCCTAAGGAAAAAATGAGAAAATATAAGAAAAAAATCCATGAGAGAGAGAGAAAGAAAGAGAGAGAGAGAGAGAAAGAAAGAAAGACAGAGAGAGAGAGAGAGACAGACAGACAGACAGACAGACAGACAGTGTGGGAAAGAAAAAGACAGACGAGAAATGGCAGAAAAATAGACGGGTATATATATATATATATATATATATGCGTGTGTGTGTGTATGTATACAGAGAGAGAGAGAGAGAGAGAGAGAGAGAGAGAAAGAAAGGATGAAAGAATTAGGTAGGTAAATAATTAGGTAGCGTGTGCGTGTATGAGAGAGAAAGAGAGGGAGAGTGAGAGGAAGCGGGAGAAAATGAGTTATTGCGAGAAAAGGGAATTTCAAAAAGAATAAAATGTATAATATGACTAGAATTATAAGGAGGCTAAAAAGAAACGGAATTACAGAGAGAGAGAGAGAGAGAGAGAGACGCATTTTTATCTTGAGGCAAAATAAAGACGAAGAGATAGAGTGAGAGAGTGTGTATGTTTGTGTAAAAGGAGTGTGTGTTTGTGTGAAAGAGAGAGAAAGATGCCGAGAGAAAGGTAACAAGTAATAGAAATGTAGTTGGAAAAAGAGACATGCATAAAAAGGGCGAAAAGAAATAAGGACGAAGAGAGAGAGAGAGAGAGAAGGAGGGAGAAAGAGAGAGAGAGGGGTGTGGAAAGAAAGAGAGGGAGTAGGAGAGGTGGGGCGAGAAATAAAATTGAAATCGGAAACGTGAAAAATCTTTAAGGAAGAAATCACGTAGAAAAACTACTTTAAGACGGACGAGGTCATATTGCGAAAGAGATGGAAGAGAAATTGAAAAGGGTCAAAGGAAAGAAACGATCAAGTAAAAAGAGAAGGAAAGGGAGACGGGGGAAAGAGAAAATTTGCTCTGCATCACCAATCATTGGGCGTCTATTCGCAAATTCATCTCGATGGTAATTCGTTAATATATTAATTTGATTCTCAGAAAGCATTCCATTTTCGTGGCCTTGTATCAGACTTAGAAAGACAATGAAATATCTGAGATCTGCACTGAAAAGGAATACACAAAACAGGTATAGACATATCGACCCACAGAAAAACTGCCAAGAAAAAAAGGCTTTTACTAAATAGGAAAGTAACGAGAAAAGAAGGGTTTGAACAGTTCTATTCAATTTTGAAAGGTTACAAGAGAAAGAAAAGCGATGAGAAGTATAGACAGAGGGCGGGGCAGAGTGATCGATAAAACTGAATTAAAGAAGAAAGAAAGGTGAGAATACATGAACGAAAAGAAAGAGAAAAGAAGAGAAAATATATGAAAGAAAAAGAGAGAGAGCACTTTAAAGGAAAGAAAGAAAGAGAGAAAATAGGGAGAAAAATAAAGAGAAACAATGAGGCGATGGAGGGAAACTGAGATGGAAAAGTTCGTGAGAGTTTCTGCATTCACTATTATACATGAGTAAAACCACATACAAACATTTGATAATAAATTCTGAAAGGTAAGTAGATAAGCAAACTAATGCGTGTGTACGCACACACACACAATCATATATGAAGGTTTTATTTCAGTTTTAATTTCAAGCTAAATTTAAATTTAATATTTCCAATAGACAAAATACTTTTCTATATTACAAAACAAATTTAAATTAATTGGAATAATTATTTATTAATGACTAAAATTGGTTGATTTTATCTGTATTCACGATTCTCTCGGCACAACCTAATTCTCTTTATTAAAAAATTTTCAAAAATAAAATATACTTTTCTGAAAATTTATTTGAGGAAGGTTCGCTGAGTTAAAGTTTATTTAATTTGATTTAAAAGAAGATATTAAATACTTATAGTTTTAAATATCGCAGAAATCCATTTTTAACACGAAGATAAGTGTTTATTTGATGTGTTGATAGATCTGTTGACATCCGAAGATCTCACTATTTTTTCTACGGGGAATATATCTGTAAAAATTACTTGACGAATACAACGTGAGCACCTTTTTATATAAATGTTAAGTACCCAGTGATCTTAAAAATTTAGGAAAATAAAAGTAATCTAATGCTTTATTGAATTTTAGTTATTTTAAATTTACTATGGTTACTGTTTTTATTTTCCAATAATGTCTTGTATGGACGTCTGTATTTACAAAAATTGGCACATTTTAATACATCTACACACAAAAAAATCAAAATTCTTTTTAAAACTATGTGGTTCGCTGAATTGTAGTAAGCTTTTCCATTTAGTAAATGTAGCTTTTACGTAATAACTATATCACCTAACCAGAATTAATTAATACAGAATTTTAAAAGATGTAAAACTTTATACATTATTGTTATTAAAATTTTTAAAAAATGAAAACAATTATTGTAAAAATTCAATTGATGGAAAAATTTTTCTGAAGACAATAGTGTCTATAATATATCTTATTCATAAATGCAAGCTTTTCTAATTAAATAATGTCTTAGTTTATATTTTATGATTCAGAGCAGATTTTCAGTAACTGGGAGTTATGCTTGAAAAATACAAATTGATGATTTAAATTCTCTAAGGACTTCTGGTTATAACCAATATAAAGATTAAACGGTACAAAAAAGAATTTTTCGAAATGTCATAAAATTAAATAAGTGGGCGGATAACAAATGTAAAAAAAATATTTTTACCAATATTTTCTATTTTTCAGTATATCTCCTAGGACTTGTTCTTATAACTAATACAAACATTAAGCTCTACAAAAATGAATTTCCCGAAACTTCATAAAATTAAATGTGGTGGTTAACGGAGCGAAAAAGAAGAATTCCCAACATTTTCTAAAAAAGAAGAATTTAAAAAATAATTTCATTCATTTGTAAATAAATTCTGAAAGTTTAATTAAATCTAACAATGATATGATTTTTGCAAGAATTTACAAATCAATTTGTTTTTCACCGATAAAAGACCCTAAACTTTCCTATATTAATTTATGTTCACTCGCTGACGTAAGTAAAAAAGATTTAGACAAAATTTTGAAAGTTCTAAAAAGGATTAAAAAAATATAATTTAATAATAAAAAAAAGTTTGGTTTTTCCTTTTAATAATAACAATAATAAACAAAGATTTATGGTCAAAATCTTTGACGACAAAACTTTGTTTTTATTAAGGTTTGAGGCATTTTATCATCACGTATGCCCATTTTTAGCGAATCTTTGGTGGTACCTACAAACACACACACACACACACACACACACACACACACATATATATATATATATATATATGAAACAGAGATTCTGAAAAATGCTCGGCATAACCAAAGACCATTATCCACAAACCTGTTTAGCTAAAATTTAGGATGTGGGTCGGGCCGACAACTCTTCAGTAATTTCTTGCGATCTATCTATCTATCTATCTATCTATCTATCTATCTATCTATCTATCTCTCTCTATATATATATATATATGATAAATGTATAGTTTAGACGTAATACACACTGTTTAAAAGAATTCAAACGAGGCGTCTACTTCAGTCACGGGGTTCCATTAAAAATAACCTTTGATGATGTCATTTATATAAACTGTTGATTCCTAGTACTGTCGATTAAACTATTAACCATTTTAAAGGATTTTTGTTACACTACTAAAATAAATGGTGTTTAAATGCTATTGTAGACGATTTAAATTTGATGAAACGAGATACATTCTAAATTTTCAAATACGGCTAGTATATTGTGGTCGTTTTCATAATTGATGCTGTTAATGGTTAATTTCTTGTTAATTATAATAAGGAATTCCATCGTATTTAAATGCTTTTTGCTGTCGGAGGTATGTACCACATCGGGAAAACGAATCTGATTCTTACCTTCCAGGAAATATTTATTAAAGAAAGTGTGCATGTTATGTAATATCGGCCCTTCTGTATGGCAGTGAATGGTGAACAATCTCATCACAGATGAAGAAAAGACTTGAAGTAACAAAGATATCGTTCTACAGAAGGATGCTGCGAATGCTATGAACTGAATATGTGAGCAACGACGGAGAGAAAATATAAACAAAAAGGACACTTATACTTAACATTAAAGAAGAGACATGTGAAATTTCTATAGCATATAATGAGGGAAGAGGGGTTGGAAAATCTGACACTCACATGATATATTGAAGCCAAAAGAAAATGCAGTGAATGACTTACCTAATGAACATGATTGGCAGGATAGAATTTAGGAAGGATGCTGAAAGGATAAATATATACGAGGGTCATTTAATAAATAAGGTGAATTTTTCGGTATAAGGACTTCTAATACAGATAGAATCTGACTTTTTTTTATTTTTCAGCGTAGTCTCCCAGCACTGTCACACACTTTTCCCATCTGTGCACAAACTTCCGTATTCCCTCAGCGTAAAAATCTTTGGACTGATGACTCAGCCAGTCGCTCACAACACTTTTGACTTCATCGTCACTTTTAAACTTCGTGCCTCTCGTGAACGCTTTCAAGGGACCAAACAGGTGAAAGTCTGAAGGGGCAAGGTCTGGGCTGTAACGGGGATGAGGGAGCAGTTCCCAGCCCAGCTCTTTGATGGTCTGCACCGTTTGGGCTGCTGTGTGAGGCCTTGCGTTGTCATGATGCAAGATGACTCCTTCTGATGGATGACCCCAGCGTTTATTCTTTATGTCTTTCTTGACCTGCCTCAGCAGTTCACAGTAGTTCTTCTGTCAGACTGAATGAGGTCATTGACTGATTCGATCACCTCAGGAGACCTCACTTCCTTAGGCCTCCCAGGCCTGTCTTCATCCTCAACACTGCTCTGTCCTTCTTTAAACAATTTAGCCCACTTGTAGACATTTTTTAGCTGAAACATGTGGCACCATACACAGTTGACATTCTCTTATGAATTTCAACTGGTTTGCACCCTTCAGCAACCAAAAACTTGATAACTGACCGCTGTTCAATCCTGGAGCATGCTTCTTGGTCGGCCATCTTTGTTAATCGCCAAAACTCTCAAAGTTTTTTTTTAATCTGCAAAAGAAATTAAACCCATGTGAAAAAGAAGTAAAAAAAAAGTAAGCTTCTATCTGTATTAGAAGTCCTTATACCGAAAAATTCACCTTATTTATTGAATGACCCTCGTATATATTGAAGGCAATAGAGACAAAAGAAAACATTGCATAACCTACATAATTAGCTTGAGTAAATGGATGGCAGAAGAGTGTTTCGGAGAGATAGCAAGAGCTATCTCCGAAAAGCTTTTACAAGTTCATGCCAGGCTAATTTCATGCCAGGCTAATTTTTTAAGTGTGTATAAATATTAACTATATATATATATATATATATATATATATATATATATATATATATGTGTGTGTGTGTGTGTGTGTGTGTTTGCGCAAATATTAGCCTAGCATAAAGACACACCGTGAATAAAAGAAAAAACAACAACAGCCAAATCAAAATTCTAGATAACCTGACAAATTATCAAGAACTGGATGTTGTCCGCATAGTAGACAAGACCTTTTTGGCTTGCGGTATATTAACTTGAGTCTATGTGACTTTCTAAATACGACCAAACTCGAATAGTCAGCCAATCTGAGTACAACTAATAAATGGAATCAAGGAGCCTTTGTTGGATCAGTCTTTCAAAGTCTATCAGCTCTGAAAATCACCTTTACACATCTGAACGTTTAAATAAGCATCAACCACTAGTACACAGCACTCTCAGACATGACACGGGCACTAAAGATAGATAGATAGATAGATAGATAGATAGATAGATAGATAGATAGATAGATGAACGGGAATGTTATACACTGGCGTGCAAAAGTTTTGAGGAAACTACATTAAAAGATTATACACCTTTATTTTATTTAGAAGTTTAGATCGCTTAGCAGTATGCTTTTATCAGTAGTGTCTGTGAATCTTGAGCATTGGAAAATAAGTTGCTGTGTTTTCGTAGGTGCCGTGTAACAGGAGATACACCACATTAAGCAGCTTGAAGTTGAAAAGGGTAATGCAAAACTATTGGGCCAATGAAAGATCTGAGATGATAGCGTCAGGATAAAATGCAAATTTATAAGTAGGAATTATTCCATCTTATTAATAGGTGTGTAAGTTGCTTTGGCAAGTCATTATAGATGGATATACTTTTTTTTTAAACAAGAGTCATAGCTAAAGTTTCTATAGAAACAAAACGGAAAGTTGTGATTTCAAGGGAGACGATGACTCAGGGAAAGATAGCCAAGTGGCTGGGAATTCCTAAAAGCAGTGTTCAGTGTTCATCTAAAAGATATTGCTACTACTGAAAGTTTATTTTTTAAGTGCAAATAAGACCAGCAAGATGACAGAAGTTAAGCAAGAGAAACGAAAGAAAGATAGTAACAATCTCGGTAAACAATTCAAAATTAACAGCCAGACAAGTGACGAGTGAACACAGTCTTAACAATGATGTTCAGTTGACATAATACGTAGATTGTTAGGAAAAAAAAAACATGAATGTGCAGCAAAGATGCATCATTAACCAAAAAACATTGGAATAAAAGATTAAAGTGGTCAGAAGAACATGAGATGCTGGAAAGTGGTAAAAAATAATTTTAGTGATGAATGCAAAATAGAATTATATTCTAAGGGAAGATAATATCTAAGACAACTATTTCAAGAAAGAAACAAGATACACCAGAAAGACGGTCAAATTTGCTAGAGATCACATAATGGTGGGGGATTATATCAAAATCGATGGTAGAAGAAAATTAGTAAAAGTTGTTGAAAACCTAAACAGTGAAAACTATATTAGTTTACAACGGTCTAATCTTCTGCCAGATTACAAAGAAGAGGATTTTTTGCGGTATAATCTTTGCTACACATAATATAAAATGGTTTCTTATGCATGAAGTTGTTCATCTTTTAGAAGACTGGCCACAAGCAAATGTTTATCTCTAAATAATTAAAATATTGTGGTAGGAACTGAAGAAAGAAGTTCTCAAACAAAAAAAAAATACAATCTTCAAAAGCTTCGGTATTACTGTCAAGAATGGGAAAAATTCCCAATGAGAAATCTGGATATTGTTCCATCCAAAGCCACATAGAAGTGAGGCAATTATTCAATCCAAAGGCAACAAGACAAGTAACGAATTCTATAATTTTACGTGTTGTACAGTGTGGTCCGAAAGTCTTGTCACCCGGTACGAAAAATTGAGAACAATAGACGAACAAGTAATACAGTAATACAAAGCACATATACTAGATTCAGTTTATTCACTTTTATTGACGCCGTCAAATATCGAGAAGGTCTGTGTGAACACCATCATTTCGTGGCACAAAATGACGCGTTTCCATGTCCTCTGTGATATTTTATGCTTTGTTAATTATTGCAAAGGCTCTCCGAACGGCGTCCTTCAGCTGATGGGTATTCTGGTATCGTTCACGTGAAACTCTCTCCTCGATAATAACTCACAGAACATGGAAACAGAAAAGTATATTATATAGGGGTGACAAGACATTCGGACCACCTCGTACATTGCGTAATAATAAAGACTAGCAGTAGAGCCCGGCGTTGCCCGGCGATGTAACAGTAAGAGATAGATCAAGTGTCGACCATCATAAAGACTGAAAAATAAAATTGACAAAGATTATTGTTTAAGGTTGACGGACACGGTGGATAAAGGCGTTGGTTAGATCCAGTGACAGGACCCAAAGAGTGTGAGTTTAATACCCGGTTAAGGCAGTGGAGAACTTGGAGAGGGGAATCAACAGGAGATAACTGATAACTGACATCCATTAAACATGGCACGTGGAACTAGAACATTCTACCCCAGTGAGCGAAATAAAGGGTTCAGTTCAGCATTCCACGAAACGTTGTAATAAATATGGCGACAAAGATGAGGACAATAGTCCGATTAATGTAAATAGTGTAAGAAAATCATACTTCTAATCAGTATCAATTTTGAGGTAACATCAACAAAAGTAATTAATTTAAAATGGTGGCCTAAACCTTTTGCACGCCAGTGTGTATTTACATCAGTTTTGCGAGCGTCAAACAGAGCAGATTGTGCTAGTTTGTGGAGAAAAGGAAGTCTCAATTTTAAAAACAGCAAGTAAAACATAAACTTGTGCAGCGGTTATGAGCTAGGAAAGTGAACTCATCGGTCTGAGTTCGCTTTCCCCACTAGTCTGTATTTCGTTTTTCTTTTTTTTAATCGTTTCCTCTCAAGTAATTTAATAAAGACACTAAAAAGCAACAGGCTACTGAGAGTGAAAGAAAACTTAGAAAACGTTATTGGGTAGAAAGTACAATAAAAGAAAGGTTTAAAAAAAGATGAAAACTGATGTTGCATTTAAATAAAAATTACATTTTCTCTTTTGCCTTTAAGAAATTGACATACATCTGACATTGTGAAATATATGTCAGTTTCTCAAAGACTTCTTTTTTCATTAAATCTTTCAGAAATTCCAACTATCCTTTTCTGATTGTAAATATAAATTCCCTTTACGTTACCGCTTTGCTTAAAACATTGACCCCTGGTACAAAACTTTCTCGGCTATGAAGTAGTCACTAAGACTGATACATAGGTAGATATAAACAGCCTGGTGAATCGATATAAGAACAGTATGATAGAAGGAAATAAATAACTGCGGAAAAAGAAATGGGGAAAGATATACATTCAAATCAGTATTGCAAATTTCTTAAAGATCGGTCCATTTTGTGAAAAAAAAAGAAGAAAAAAAGAAAGAATCCTCAGTTTTAAAATAATTTTTCAAAGTACATGCAGATGAAATTTACATTAGGCCTGATCTGTTGCATTTACTTTCGCACAAATACCGTTGAGAAAGACATGGCTCCATCTCTCATCTCCCAGCTATGGATTATATAGCAGGGTAAACTGACATCTCTAACTCTGCGTTGTAAGCAGCTTAGAAGAAGAAAAAACTGTTTTCCACACTCCGCGTACAGTAACAAGATACTTATTTCACTGCTGTTCCAAAGATTTGACAGTTCACAAATAATAAAGAAAGGGAATCTGAGGAGTGCTATGATTGCCTACGTCCCAAACAGATATGTCAGTAAAAAGAAATTCACTGGAATAGGAACACCAGGCAGTTCCACTGGAAGAGATCTTCATACCATTTTCTACTCAAGAAACCAAAGACAGATTTATGTATAAATGAGACGGCAAAAAATGTATGTATGTTAGAGTCCAAGATGACATATAATATTAACTCTTTTGTCATAACAAATATGTCCTCATATATATTGACGTAGAGAAGTACACATTTAGTCATACGAAATGAAAAAAAAAATACTGTTTTCAAAATCTTAATTGTATTGCAGTGTTTAGCACATTAAATTCATGAGGTCGGTGTTTAATGCCTTGAAGTCCAAACTAGTCACATTGAATTATCGCCGATTAGACCCCGAACTACCACAAGTCACGATGAATAGATGTTCCCTCGGGGAGACTCCGTGTCTTAAGAAACTACTGGGCCTTAAACTCACCCTTGACCTCAAGTGGAACTCGTACTTACGATCTATCGCTAAAGATGGAAGAAAAATGGTCGGTTCCCTGTATCGTTTCAACCTGACTCCTGGTGCTATTCTCTACAAGAGCCAGATCAGACCTAAAATGGCGTACTGGTGCCATATTTGGGTATAAGCTGCCCAGTCTTCCCTTTCCAATCTCGATAGTGTTCAAAATCATCTCTGTGTCCCTGTGGGTGACAATTTATTTTTCGCCCTATAAACTCTCTCTCTCTCTCACACGTGAGAAAGCCTCTCACTGCTCTATCGCTACTTCCATGGTAAGTGCACGGACGGACGAATTGCATTCCTTAGTTCTGCCAGTTCTAACCTTCACGGCTAGGACCCGCCGTGACACTTACATTCTAACAAACCACTTTCATCCTCTCCGTATTCCATCGGCGAAAAGTAAGTTCCACTCAAACAGCTTCTTACCGCGAACTACTGCTCTGCGGAACCATATCCAAAGAGGATGTTTCTCCGATCACTACAGTCTGAAACCTAGGCTTAAACGTTATCTTCCCCTACATATCCGAATAAACTGCCTCTTACCCTGTAACCCTCTGCCTCCATTGACCCCAGGGCATGTACAAGGTAAACCGCATTGTAAAAAAAGTACTAGATTTGGTTTGAGCGAAACAAGACAATAGATTTCAAAATATCTACGCGGCCTTGTGGATGATGAATTATTTTCACCCCATAACCGCTATCCCACGGACGAAATGTCGCGAGCCTCCACTGCTCTATTGCTAATTCCATGGCATGTATACTGGCGAGATATATTCCTTAGTCCCACCATCCCTGACCTTTACAACTGGGACCCGACATGCGGCGTACACAAGGGAGAATTCTACCCATACCCTTCGTATTCCAAAAGTAAGAAGTAAGTTCCTCTCGGACAGCTTCTTCCCAAGAATTGCTGCTTTGAGGAACTGACTTCCAACAGGTTGTCTTCCCAATCACAACCTCAAGTCTAGATCTGACCGTTATCACTCCTGCATAGCCCTATGAACTTCACTTCTTACCCATATATAACACCACCGGGTAAACCTCTACCGTGAGTAGCTCTTTGGCCTTATATTGGATGAACAACAGTATATAAAAAAATCACTATCAAGATCACCCGAAGAATTGCAAATCTATCTATCTATCTATCTATCTATCTATCTATCTATCTATCTATCTATCTGGTTAGGTGGCTGTGCGCTGATATGTAGAAATACCTGGGTTGGTGTCCATGCGTGCGGTTACCCCACAGGGAGTAATAAATATTTTAGTTAATGTATCCAACTAGGAGACAGAAACTCTGATATAACACCTGTAGCTTGAAAGCATCGAACGATGTTGAATCGTTCAACCATTTGGGAACATGAAGTTATTCTTTAGAGCAGTGCTTCTCAAAAACATTTTTTTTTTTTACTTCAGGACGCACTTGTAGAATGACTAACTCTAGAGCACAATTTAAATTTTAATAAGAAAAAATTAGAAATTTGAAAGTAGGAAAATAATAAAGAATTCTCCTGAAATAAGCATTTATTTTTAGAACATGACATTGTATATTTCAGTATGATTGTGTCAAACGTGTGCTTGATTTGCTTTGGCAATTTTTTGAATGTTGGCGATTATATGTGATAAACATATTTCCATTTCCTTATAAATACATTTAATATTTGATCTATTTTTGCATTTAATGTTGGTAAGTGCAGAAAACCCTAATTCACAGAGGTATGATTTGGAAAACTGCGATAAAATACTCAATGCTTTACTAGTTATTGAATGATATTCATCTTTAATGGAAATCTTAAATTGATAAATGGACACGTCTTTCTGCATGGTTTTTAAGTCACGTTCAACAGATATTGGTGGATTGATGAAGAATTTGATATTTTGTTAGAGAGACGAATAATGGCAGCTTCAAATCTCTTTAAAGAGGCAAAAGGGAAAGGATTATCCGCTCCTTCTTAAAGCTTAAGGAATTAAATTGAGAAATGTTTAGAGAATGGGATTGACCCAATGTAATGTCTTTCATCGCTTTAAAAAGTTCGTGTACTGGCATTGCTTGATAATGTAAGATGCTTTTTTTGCATGCTGAATACTAAGTCTTACAATATCTTGTGATGATCATATTCGACAAAGAGGTGGAAGCCATTATCTATCTATCTATCTATCTATCTATCTATCTATCTATCTATCTATGTAGATGGATATGTAAATACTTGTGTGTATATCGATTTATGACAATGTATACATATACAAATATATGTTTATGTAAGTTCGGAAATGGCTTTACGGTTAACAACTATGAAAATGGAACCGGAAAGCCA